TATATATATATATATATATATATATATATATATATAAATACACACACATATATATAGGCATCACTCACTCGCCCATCCATGTGGCGTAGCTCTCCGGCAGTTTGGGCACAAACAGGAGAGATTTCTTAGAGTCGACGTCGATGGCGCCATAACAGTCGGCCTCCGTCACACCAAAACTCCAGTGGAAAAATGACTCCTGCAGAACAACACATACACATACTGCTGCTCAGTTATGCGGGAAATCTGAACAGTGTGTATTTTGTCAATATTGTAATCATGATTATTTAAAATGATATATTGGATTGGGATGGATGGATTGGGAATGGATGGATGGATTGGTATTAGGATGGATTAGGATGGATGGATGAATGGACTGGGATGGGTGAATGGATGGATTGGGATGGATGGATGGATGGATGGATGGATACATTTGGATGGCTATGAATGAATGTTGATATGGATATGGATGGATATAGATATGAATACGGATGGAGGGACAGACAGACAGGGAAAAATCCTTCTGAAAGTGATCCCGACAATTCCTCTTTATCTTCATCATTGTATGTGTATAGCTATTATAGTTGTTATGCTTGGTGTGAACTGACCTTAACACTTTACAGTAATTGATTGCACAACAAACAAGGGTTTACCTAACAATCACTTTAACGTTAACAAGATACACTTCAATATATCAAGCACAGGATTTCCATAAATGTGGAGCAAATGCAGACAGACCTCCTGAAAGGGGAAGGGGTAAGACACAATAATTATTTCATCTTGATTATTGTTTTTTTTTTTCAGAATAATTAGAGGCCAAATTGGAAAGCAGAATTGGCTTTTTATTCATTGCTGGATGTGTGTTAGACCTCTGCATTACCGAGCTCCTCAAAGCGAGCTCCTGATCTACACATTCGACTCATAGAGAGGTTCGAGAGCCTCTTCTGTACATCATGCCAAATAAACTCAACCCTTTCAAGAGCCTCATTTACATACACAGACTCTACAGGAAAAATTGAAGAGGCACTAGTGATTCTCGGTTTCTCTGGATTTGTTAGGGGTTTGAGTAAAATCTTCATATTTGTTTTAGTTTGCATTAAAGGAGTGAGAATATTTATAATATTATCTCTATTTAAGAATATTCCACATTTGATATAAAAAATGTGTAATTTACAGCTTTGGAAATCAGGGTTATTCCACCAAATATTGATTTTTTCAAAGGTAAAACATTGATATGGTGTTAAAAAAAACATGTCTTTTTTATTTTATGCAACAAAAATATTTCCCAAATTAAAGAAATGTAATCAGTTGTTTAAAAAAATGAAACAAAATAAATTGTCAATTATTTATTTTTGCATAAAAAGCAGAAAGAATGGAGATGTTTAGACAGCAATATCTGTTTAACTTCAAGAAATCATTATTGTGTAGAAAACAAAAAAACATGCCTTTTTATTTCATGCAACACCAAAACATATTCTACACTGTAAATAAAAATGCCAGATTTTCACAACATATTACTGTAATTTTACACAGTAAACTACATTAGTATCACTTTACAGTATTTAACTGTAAAAATTCACAGTAATGTGTTGTGTTCAAAATTTATTGTTANATTAATGCAAGTAGCATAATTACAGCATGATTACTGTAAAAAGCGCTATACCTTTTGCATGTTAACA